AAAGTTTTGCTAAATCAAAACTTTTCTGGGCACCTACCTGGGTGGCTCAGATGGTTAAGCGTCTGCCTTCAGCTCGGGTCATGATCTCAGGGTCCTGGGATCGAGTCCCGCATCGGGCTCCCTGCTCGGCGGGGAGTCTGCTTCTCCCTCTCCCTCTACCTATCCCCCTGCTCATGCTCTCTCTCTGTCTCAAATGAATAAATAAAATCTTAAAAAAAAAAACCTTTTCTTTCCATTCCCATCACTTGAGTCTCCTAACATCTCTTTCCAGAATCACAGTCAATCTAGCAATGCTTCCACCAAATAGTATTTCAGCTCCTCCCTCTCCCCTCTAGCTCACCTTCTACAGGGCTTCCCAAGTCATTTCTTTAAGAGCTCTGATCATGTCACAAGCTTTTCAATGGCTACCTACCAGCTAGAGAATAAACTGCAAACTTCAAACTCACAGTATTCAAGGCCATTTAGTATCTGACCCTGTTGATCCCCTCACTAATACAGCTTTCTCTAGCTCTTCTCCACTGAAGCCTACCAGCATGGGACTACCTCCTACTTTCTGTGGTGTTTCCTAGCCCTTCTTAGCCCTGACTGGGAATGCTCTTCAACCACTCTTTCTGAAATTGTATTTATCATTCAAGGTGCTGATCAAATGTGTCCAGCTCCTTATCTCCCTAAATTCTCTCAGCTACAATTAAACACAAGGCACTCTCTTCCTTTTCTAGCATGACCCTAATAGGTTGAAAGTTATTTCTTCAAAAAAGGTAAACATCTCCCCTCTGATCTAAGTTCTGATTTAAAGGGCTGCATAGATGAACCTAATCCTTTTCTATACAACAATCTTCCAAATATCTGAAGCTGCTCCTAAATCTTCTCTTCACAGGATAAATTTCCTCAAAATTCACAGCTAATAGTCATAGATACAATTTCTAGAAATTTTCATCTTCATAACTACTCCTGTCTGGACACTCTAGATTTTCAATCATCTCTCCTAAAGTGTGGTATCCAGAGGCAAACACAACACTCCAAAATTTGTTTTTTGCAAATTATGCACGATATTCACCTTCCTTCCCAAATTTGGACATTCACAATGTCTATTAGGAAATTAACAACTCAAAATAGTCTTTCAGTAATAAACTTACTAGTTTTAACTGGGTGCAGATGTTTAATAAATGTGCAAAAGATAAAGATGAAAATAATAAAACAAGGTTCAAAGACGTTCTAGTCAGAATTAAGTATACAAGAATTTACCTTAGGAAGGGAACTCGTTTTGAAACATGAGCTAAATGGAACCAGATGTATAAAAACTCAGAGATAGTATAAATAAAAAGGGTGCAATATCAAAGGAAATTTCTAGACAAAGTTTATTTGGGGAATCTTTTACTAAGTAATCTTCCATAGAGCAAGCAAACTTCCAATAATAATATGTTGATTAACATCTTTTTATTTAAAATGCCAACTAACGCTATCTTCACAATCTTTTTATCCTGAGATGCCAGTATGTTTTTTTTTTTTTTTTCAAAAAAAAAAAGTTAAAATTTCAACAATCAATCCTAAACTTAAATTCAGCTGACTGGACAATACTCCAGAGATTTATTTTAAATTGCATAAGTATCTTTGCTCTCATTAAATAATATCCTATGTGGAAAGTATAGTAGTTCTTTAATGACTGGCGCCACACTAACTAACTGAATTAAAAGAAAAAGTCATTTCCTCTAAAGAGTTCTTAAATACTCTTCAATGGTGGTGTTAAATGCTCAACAATTCATTCAATTCAAAGAAAACTCAAGGAGACCTCTAAAAAACCATCTTTCATACCAAGGAAATAAAGTTAGATGACTCATTTTTGGAAAACTTGCATTAAAACAAACTAAAGATATTTCCCCTATATATAGTGGAAGGCTTAGGAAATGTGTAACAGTATTTACAGAACATAATATGTGTCTGTGCCACAGGCTTCAATTATCTAAGAACTGAGCAACACAGATATGTTATATAGCAGCATACAATGATTCTCCTACATCATCAATAAAAGCCTCATTTTCTCACAGCCAAGAGTACATGAATTCCAAATATCAAGCTGATAGAAGTATAAATTTATAATCACTTTGGAAAACAATTTCGTATCATAATAACATTAAAGACCAACATATCCTTTGACTAACAAATTATGTTGTTTTAGAATACACATGATTTTGTTAATTTAAATCTTTCTTCAATCATATTGTATTTTCATTGAAATGGTACAATGAAGTTGATCCAAAATTATTTTTTTTAAGATTTTGTTTATTTATTTGACAGAGAGAGACACAGTGAGAGAGGGAATACAAGTAGGGGAAGTGGGAGAGGGAGAAGCAGGCTTCCCACTGAGCAGGGAGCCCGATGCGGGGCTTGATCCCAGGACCCTGGGATCATGACCTGAGCTGAAGGCAGACGCTTAACGACTGAGCCACCCAGGCACCCCAATCCAAAATTATTTTTAATGGTCAAAAGAGCTGAACAGATCCTTTACCAAACATCTAAGGATGGCAAATAAGCACATAAAAAGATTCTCAACATTTTCAGTCATTAGGAAAATGAAAATCAAAACCACAATAAGACACCACTATACAACTAATAGAATGGCTAAAATAAAAATAAAAACAGCAACAAAAACCTGACAATACCAGTGCTGGTGAGGATGTGTAACCAGAATTTTCTTAACATTGCTGGCAGGAATGCAAAATGATATAGCCAATTTGGAAAAGAGGGGGGTAGTTCCTTATAAAGTTCCATACATGTGCGCACAACCCAGCAATCTCACTCTTAGGTATTTACCCAAGTGAATGGATAAACTTCGGTAAATCCATAAATGAACTACTACTTAGCAATAAAAAGGAATAACTACTGACACATAGATGAATCTTAACTGCATTACGGTGGGTGAAATACGTTTTATTTGAAAGACTACATCCTCCATAATTTCATTTATATGATATCTGGGAAAAGGCAAAATTGTAGGGACCTAAAACAGATCAGTGGTTGCCAATGCCTGGTTAATGAGGTAAGGGTCAATGAAATACTAAGGGGTAAAGGGAATTTGGGGAGTGATGGAACCATTCTGTATCTTGACCGTGTGATAGTTACAGGACTATGCATTTGTAAAAAATCATAAAACCATACACCAAAAAGGATAAGTGTTACTGTATGTAAATTATACTTCAATAACAAAAGCCAATAGACATTTTGCATATTTTTTAATGCTACTGACAACTTATGGAAAAGAAGCATCTTTCCTTCTGGTTGCAATTTGTGAAGAAACACCATCAACACGCTAGGTTATTTGTGGACTTAAAAAAAAAAAAAAGACATATTCCCTACCCTGATAGGGTTTAGAAGCTCATTTAAATGGGAAACAAGGGGCGCCTGGGTGGCTCAGTTGGTTAAGCGACTGCTTTCGGCTCGGGTCATGATCCTGGAGTCCCGGGATCGAGTCCCACGTCGGGCTTCCCTGCTCAGCAGGGAGTCTGCTTCTCCCTCCGACCCTCACCCCTCTCATGCTCTCTATCTCATTCTCTCTCTCAAATAAATAAATAAAATCTTTAAAAAAAAATAAATAAATGGGAAACAAGTCTTAGATATTAAGTTACAGAAAAAGGCTGGGCAAAACAATTTTGAGAGATAAATCACTAAATACAATTTACATGTGCTCTAAGTAAGGAAGGAGTAATTCTCTTTGACTAGAACTGCCGGAAATGAATGGATCACAATATTGGAAAGATTTTAGTGCTTCTCAGTAACTGCTATTATTACCATCTCTAACTTCCAAGTGAGGAGACTGAGACCAGGGAGGACAAATATTTTGTCAGTTTTCCCTCAGTTATTAGGTGTCAGAGCTGAAGTTCTAACCCAAGCCCTTGTGATGCCAAAGCCTGAGATCTTTTGCATCGCGATGATGGAGCTACATCGTAGAGGTTATAACGGCTGCTACGTGAGATGATTTCAACCGACAGGAACGCCCCCTAATTCCCCAAACTCCACTACTTTGCATGAATCCTAGGAAACACCACGATTGGAGCAAAGATCTTAAAGTGAGCTCCATGGGGTTTTGGAGTGCAAATTCGTGGGAAAGGTAACATAAAACCTTGTGAGGACCCCTCTCCACAGTGTGCACAGCCCTACTTTAGACAGCTGGACGAAAGTGACACGTGTGGCCAACGCCGAGCTACCGAAAAGGTAAACACCAAGAAAGAGGAAAGCGGAGACCCTCAAGATGCACCTCTTCCATTACACAAGCCGGCCTGGTCGCCAGGAGGGCACAGGAGAAAGAAAAGCTACTTCCCTGCCCTCCTGAGGCCCTCTGGGAAGAGACCTCCGTGGACTTGTCCCTGTCTGTGTCGCCCAATGGCCAGGACCGGCGCCGGGGCGTCGTCTGCGGGTGGGCTCTCGATCCGGGGAGGAGAGCTGCGTGTGTGGTGCGGTGCTCGCGCGGGTCGCGGCCGGTGGCACCTCACCGAGGCGCTGCAACCCACGGACGGCGGGCACACTGCGGCCGGGCCGCGGCGCCGAGCGCTCAGCTCAGAGTGAAGGGGCGGCAGGGTGAACGAATCTGGGCTGTGACCCCAGGAGACATCACAGCCATCGGACGCTGTGTTAGTTTACGAGACGCGCTCACGTTCCCCTTATTTACAGACCGCGCAAACGTTGCGAGCTCGCTGTAATCTCACCTCTCCAGTTCTTGTACTCGGGGACATAGTAGTATTTGTTCCCAAACTGGTCTGTGCCCACTTGCCGTTTCGCTTCTTTTGACAGCGCTCTCCATAAGGCACGGAACAAATCCTGAGACCAACCCATGCAGTCCGCCGGGATTTAAGCACGAATCGCTGCCAGATTCGCCACGACTGAAACACACTCGCTCTCCAGCCGCTGACCCCGCCCATCCACTCCATTCTCACGCCCCTCTAGTAACGGCGCTCACCATTGGTTGGATAGCACCTTGCTTGACCAATGGGAGACTCCACTGTTACAGCCCGGCCTCCGAGCTCTGTCATGGCGGTATCTAGTTTTCAGGCCGGTGTAAAGGAACGGGATGTTAGGGTTTTTATTAGCGAGACAAGCGGGTTTGGACGACCCTCTTCGCCTCCGGAGAGCGGAGTCCACACAGAGGTAACGAAAACCTTACTTTTTTCTCAAACAGGCCATTTAAAATCTGGACCTGTTTCTGTGGTTAGTCTTGCCTCCCACTTTCCCGCCTCATTATCACTTTACTGCCACCAAACTAGACTTTTAATTTCTTCTGCTCTGTGCCTTACGAAAATAAGATGCCTTCTACATACCTGGAGGCTGGTGGGTGCGCACGCGGCTTCTGGGGAAGATACTTTCCTTTTATCTTATTCCTTTTCCCTCACATTACATTTCCTTCCCACTCCCCAAGGAATAACTACTCTCCAAGGATTCCTTCATTCATTCAGTCGACATATTTACTGAGCTCCTATTGTTTGCCAAGCACTATGTTAAGGGTAGAGCATAGGCCAGGAATCGAACAAAGTTTACCATGACTAGAGCAGACAAGGGGGCCATTGACAAGAGATGAAGCTGGAGATGTAGTCTGGGGCTAGGTGAGAAAGAGCCTTGTGTGCTTGGTGAAGAGGTATGAAGATAAGAAGAAGGTGACAACTATTGGATTTTGTCATCTGCTTGGAGAATGGATTGAAGTTGAGAGCAAGAGTGAGAGTCAAGTTAGGTAACTGTTCCAGTTGTCCAGAAGAGAGCAGATGGAAGCCTGGGAAATGGTGGTTGGGTGGAAAAGAGTGAAAATATTTAAAAAACATTTAAGAAATAGAATCAACCAGCTATGTAAATTGGTTGAATATAGTGAATGATGAAAAGAGAGGAGTCAACAATGATTCCCAGATATGTGCTTTGTATGTAGCAGAGTGAATGTAACTTGACCATACGGACGTTTTCCATATTACTTTCTTTTTTTTTTTTTTAAGATTTTATCTACCCATTTGAGAGAGAGAGAGCAGGAGCGGGGGGAGGGGCAGGTGGAGAGGGATAAGCAGACTTATGAGCAGGGAGCCCTACCCTGGGCTCGATCCCAGGACCCTGAGATCATGACTTGAGCCGAAGTCGGATGCCTAACTGACTGAGCCACCCAGGTACCCCTTCCCATATTGCTTTCAAAGAACCTGTGAAGATTTTCACTTGGAGAGAGGAGGAGAAAGTTGAATGTACATATTTGTTGCTTAGAAGAAATTGAGATATCTTTAATGTGAGATGATACTTGAAGTGAGGTGGAGATGAGATCATCCAGGCATTATTTGTAGAGTAAGAAAAGCATTTCAATGACCAAAAATCTGAGAAACATCAACATTTAAAGTTAGGCAGAAGAAGAGACTACAAATGAACCGTTGCAGCAAAACCAGGGCAATGAAGTGTCTCTTAACCTGAAAGAAGAGGAAGCCCTCATATGTGTCATTTGCTGGCCCTCGCCCCATTCTTTGCTCTCAGTGGTTCTCCCTCCCATTACTCTGCTTATCTATTCAATTTATTACTACTGAAATTGTATTATATACATATTTTCTTATTAGTATATTGTCTTCTTAAACCCTGTGAGAAAAGAGACATGAGAGAAGGGGCCTAGAAAAGTTTATGTTAAGTGAATGGCATGCATTCAAGAAATATGAGGAATAAAGGAAGAATTAAAAGTGTGCATTATATTTAACCAACAGGGTGATCACTGATGACCCTGGGAAGAGCATTTTTAAGAGAATCATGGGAATAAAAGTAAGATTTCAGTGAGTTGGAGAATGACAGGAAAAGAAGTGGGAACTGCCAACACTGATGGCTTTTTAAAGAAATTTAAGGAGAGAAAAGCAGAGTACGGTTGCTTATTGGAAAACTGATGGACATGATTTTTTTCTAATATCCCAAAATAAGAACTCACCTGCTGCATTAGTTATCAGTGGGTGGGTAACAAAGTACCCCAAGCATAATTTATCAGTGAGTGGGTAACAAAGTACCCCCCAAAACTTAGCAGCTTAAAGTAACAAAAGATTTATTATCTCACAAGTTCTAGGGGTCAGGAATCTGTGTGTCTTATCTGAGTCTTCTGGCTCATAGTCTCTTAGAAGGCTGAAATGAAGATATTGGCTAGGACTATAGTCATTTCAAGACTTGACTCTCGAAGGATCTATTTCCAAGCTCACTCAAGACAGGATTTAATTCTTCCCTGACTTTGGTCCAGAGGTCTCCCTCAGTTCCAGTTATTTTTCACATAGACCTCTCAAATCACATGACAGCTGGCTTCCATCAAAACAAGAAAGTAAGAGAGCAAGAAAGGGCAAGCAAGATGGGAGACAGATTCCTTATCTGATCTCAGAAATTGCATCTACTGTTGGCCCCCTCTCCCCACCCCCAATTAGTGCAGAGTTGACAGTAATTCCTATTCAGCTCAGTGATCCACTCTAATAAAAGCATACAGACATATCCAGAGGTTTTTATTTCATTGATTTCAAAGACTCAAAATTTATGTTTATCAAAATTGGTCAATCTCCGATAATTTAGCTTGTTTCCACCAAGTAGTTCTGCAATTCTTCCATTAGGATCAACAAATTAAACATTGGAAAGTGAATGAACTTGACTGTTAGACCTTTAATTTTAGTAAAAATATCTGTGCTTTTTTTAAAAGAAGCAGCATTATTTTTTCTCTACTATGTTCAGAAGTCTTATATCAGTAATAATTTAAATCATGTGAGCTACTGAGGGTCTAAAATACTGGGTGTCTCCAGAGTCTTTTAATCCCAAATAGTCCTCAGTCTGAGGAAGCAACTAAGTATCGCTCTTTGTTAAAATTCCATGACCTAAACCTCTTCATTAGAAGAAGTAAAGGTTTGGGGCGCCTGGGTGGCTCAGTCGTTAAGCGTCTGCCTTCGGCTCAGGTCATGGTCCCAGGGTCCTGGGATCGAGCCCCGCATCGGGCTCCCTGCTCCGCGGGAAGCCTGCTTCTCCCTCTCCCACTCCCCCTGCTTGTGTTCCTGCTGTCGCTATCTCTCTCTCTGTCAAATAAATAAATTAAAAAAAAAAAAAGAAGTAAAGGTTTGAAATAGTGAATGTTTCCTAAGAAGATCACCAGATTAATCCATCTGTGAATGGGTTTCATTTTCTGTGTAAAACATGCTGGTTCCCCCAGCATACTTAACACTTGGGGCTAAAAAGCTTATAATCTAGTAATCCCATGCACATCTCTCCTACCAGTTGCTTTATATGCTTATCAAAAATCAGTATTTGTCCCGAGTCCTGAGAATGCCAGTTTTATTATTCTGATTACATCATTTTAATAAGAATTAATGAAATACAAAATGAAAAAGAATTATTATTCTTATAAAAACTAAATGGACCACTTTTGAAATAATCCAAACAAATCGCTTAAAATAAAATGCTGTTCAATGAGGTATGATTGAGAAAATCATACTATGAAAGACTGGAGGAAAATATTAAAAGAACAGTTTTTTTCAGCTTTGCCATGATATTAGAATCACATAGGGTGATTTGGAAAAAATATGTTGGAAAAAGTATTCATGCCAAAGTTCCAACCCCAAAGATTCTGATTTAATTGGTCCAGGACACTGGGATTTCTTTAAAGCTCCGTAGGTGATTATAATGTATAGCCAGGATTGGCAACCATTGTTTGAGAGAGATTCCACATTCAATTGCTTTGCATGTCTGAGATTCCATATTCATTTGTTTGGCATATGCCTTAAATGTTTTCTCAACTAAAATAACAATTTAATGACTAAAACATATATTTTAATTTTAATTAAATTAAATCTTAAGCAGAGTCTGTGCCCAGTGCAGAGCTTGATGCAGAGCTCAATCTCACGACCCTGAGATCACAACCTGACTCAAAATCAAGAGTCGGACACTCAACCGAGTAAGTCACCCCAGCTCTCCAAATAAAACCTATTTTTGAAAATCATAGAATACATATAGTTATGGGTATCGTTTGTAAAAAAAAAGGTGATGTGGCATTCTGTTCAGCATGTTTACTCTACTTCAAACAATTGGCATATAAATATTCGGACAGTCCTTGCTTTCCATAGTATTATACATCTATAATATAATTGTGCCAGGCAAAATCTATGGCAAGTAATTTTAATAATCAGTGGATAGGGAACAATTACCATTGTTCTGTGATATTTAAAATTTCTTTGTCAAACAGTAAACTTTTACTGTCCATCCTAAATATACAAGAAATGAAAAAAATAGGAAAGCTAATATTAGTACACTGTAATATAAGACATTAGAAACAATGAGAACTACAGTTATTTCTTTGTTTAAGGGGCGCCAGGGTGGCTCAGTCGTTGGGTGTCTGCCTTCGGCTCAGGTCATGATCCCAGGGTCCTGGGATCGAGCCCCGCGTCGGGCTCCCTGCTCAGCGGGAAGCC